CAGCCAGGGAGCCAAGATGCGCCCGACCATGGCTAACTTCGACGGTAGGTCCTTCATGATCCTGATCTAAGCCCTACGTTGGCCACCTTGCTTTCGCTTCCAGCCGACTTCTGTGTGCGCGAAGTGGGCACGGCGAGGTAAACGATGAGCAGGCATGCGAAGAACATGTCCAAGCCACTGAAGCCTGCGCAGAAAAATTATGCTGCTCAGTGGACGGCCAAGTCTGTCAGATCTGAAAAACTTCCGTCGGACATCATTACTAGTGTGATGTTGCCATTGTGCACCAGCAATGCTCCGGAGACAGCGGTGATCAAAAACGGACAGCTTATCAACATCATTTGCGCGAACAGACCGTCTCGCAGCCATAGAATAAAACTGCTCTCACCGCGGCATTGTAAAGTCGACCCTTCAGGGTTAGACTCAGATCCCCTCGTCGCCAGAGACGGCGGAGATTGGTAAAAGCAACCCGAGTGTTGGAGACGCGCAAAGAGACGTCATCCGTTAGAGCATTAGAACTTAGGCAGCTTCCGAGATAAACGAACTTGTCTGCCACTTAAAATGAAAGACCTGAAAGGGTAAGGATAGGAGCAGCTTCTAGCTAGTACTGCAGGAAGATCTTGCACTTCGATGGTGCGATGATCATTCCAAACTGGGAGACAGACACCGACAACCTACACAGGACATTTTGGGCGGCCTGTGAGGAATCGCAGATTACGGCGATGTCGTCTGCTTAATCCAAATCCTGAAGTCCGACACCGGAAGCACCTCGACGCCGTTGGGTTCGCAATTCTCCAGAGCACTCACCAGGATTTCGTCGATAGTGAAATTGAACAAAAAGGAAGATGCTGGGCAACCCTGTCTCACGCCACTGGTGATACTAAAGGGGAGAGAAAGTCTGCCGTACACCCGCACCCGGCCCGAGGTTTGAGAGTAAATTGCCTGAAGTAAGGTGTTATACCTCTCGAGCAGTCCCTACTCAGTAGACTACTGTAGAGAGCTGCTCTGTCAACTGGGTCAAACGCGGCTCGTATGTCTAAGAAGCCAACGATCGTTGGCCGGCCAAATGTTTGACGACGCTCGAGTATTTTGCGGAGTGTAAAGATGTGATCGATGCAACTCCGACCTGAACAGAACCCAGATTACTCTTCATGTATGCTTGTTCGCGTGCCAGACTGAGCCTCCTTAAAAGCAGAGCTGCGAGAACCTTGGAAGTAACACAGATGAGACTAATACCTCCGTGATTGGCACAGTCACTTCGGGTATCCTTTTTGAAGACGGGCACGATATCTGCTAGCCACCAATCAGATGAGTAAATTAAGCGACCCACATAACTTAGATGAGATAAGTTAACTCCTGAACTAGCGATTGGCCTCCACCTTTGAAAAGAGCCGGCGCGAGTTCAACTGGGCCAGGGTCTTTGTTGCGCTTTAAGAGGCGAAGCTCATGGACAACCTCAGCCTCAGATGGTGGTGAAGCGTCTACACACCAGGGAGCGCTCTGGACTCTAGGAACTCATCGGCGCTGCTAGTCAATTAAACAGCTGCTCGAAATGCTCGGACCAAAGCTCGAGGCGGCGTTTTTGACAGTGGATTAGCTCGTCGTTGGTTTTGCAAAAATACCGCTTACAGTCGGCCTTTCGCCACCAGTAGATCGGATCAGGTGGAAAAGCCTAATGAAATTCCCAAAAGTGGCTGTTTGCTCCATCTCAATGATCCGCTGCATCCACCAGGCCTTGCGATCTTCCCGGAGAAGTCGCAAGGGAAACGGGACAGCACGACCATCAAGGAGTTATTGTTAATTGGATTTCAGTGGTTGGTGAGGGAAGATAGTAGCAGATGGCATAACTCCAGTGGCATGGCGGCTGCTGTCAAGTAAGCTGGGGATAATGGAAAGGTTAGTAATGGGGATTCAGATGTAAGAAACAGGGTACAAGAAAAACAGGTGGAAAAGAAAGAAGAAAAACATTAGCAACGGCATATTTTCGCTTATGTGCCCTGATGTATGCAAAAGATAAGGTGAAACTTTTAAAGCTATGTGACGACCAATGTACGAGTGAGTGAGGCTTGATGGGATAGTTAGGGTTTTACGCGGGTTGAGGTTGCCATGATGTAAAAGTCTAGGTAGCAGAACGAGTAGGATTCTCAAATAGAGCTTTCGGCTCAAAGGCCTGTGCAGAAGACAGCGGGGTGGTGGCAACCAGTCAGTTGTATAGAAATGGGCGCCATTCCATTTCTAGCCCCCAACCTGGAGGACCAGAAGGCTGAGTTTGTCCGACTTCTAAGCACTAACCAACCTGGTAAAAGTAGCTCTCAAGAAGCACAGTGGCAACTCCCAGTGTTTATTCATGTGTACACAAGCCTGAATACAGACGACGTGCCATCTGAACCGCGGCGAAATGGAAGAAAGTGAAATAAAAGAAACACGTGTTTTATGTCTCACACACCGTTTTGTTTTTAATTGGCCATTAAATAGACAATACGGTAGAACAACACCGGCGTCACGGATGGCTGTTGAGGGTCATAACATCCAAGGTTTGCAATCACTGGGAGTAGGTGCCGCGTGGTAACCAGCCTGGAAGGTGGACTGGACCGATTGATTAAAAGTAAGAAGTCGCCTTCTTCATGTGCTTTTTCCACTTCACTGATTGTCATCATCACTTAATCCAATTGCTTCCGGGAAACGCAAGCAAAGCATCGACGAGCAAGACGATAGGCTGCTACGCATTAAGTGGCCGAGCCAAAGTATGTGGTGTTGGAGGATGACATTTCGGGGACAGTGATTGTTCGCAGCAAGTAACCGGTCACGAATTTCCGCACTGTTTACTGATGTTGTCAGCACACACCAACAATCCTTCGCAGACAACGGACGTGATTAAACTGACAACCACTTCATGTATTACGAAAGAACCGGTCAGGTCACACATCCGTACAACGGGACCGTAGAAACGAAAGCACTGTACCATCTGCGCTTTAGCTTGAGACGATGCGATGACACCATAAACGCCGCAGTTCGATGAATGTAAAATGCGCCGTTGCGATCCGTTGTGAGACCTCTAACACCACTGTCAGCTGTGATGCAACCGCCTAGTTCCAGAAAGTTACCAGCATGCATACACAGGCATCCGCCAGTTCTGGAGTAGTGTTTTACATTCGTTTTAAAAATAAGAATATAATAATAGTGATAATAATGTGTCAGCTGTACGCCGTAACGGCGCTTCGCTGCCGTGCGACCATCACCAGTCGCACGCGGGCTGAGTATACCGCGAGGATACCCACTCCTATACGGATCCGAACCAGCGCCGTAAGATTACGAGACAAGCTCGTTACCACTAGATGAGATACAGGCCATTAATTAGACGCCCCTATCGTTAAGCGGTTCAAAGCGCTTTGGATGGCTTGTGAAGAACCACAAATCAAAGCGATATCATCAGCGCAACCCAAGTTTGCGACTGTGTCGCCAGGGAGAAGCTCAACACCACAGCTCTGGACACCATCCAATGTTCGCTAGACGACATCAAACTAGTGAGTCAAATGTTGCTCGGATGTCTAAAAAAATCATGACTGTTGGTCATCGATGGACATGACAGTGTAGATATTTGATTGAGCTAACCTAGGGCTACACGAAAACCAGATTGTTCCCCCCGAGGAAACCTCTAGTCTTCATGAGCCTGCGAAGTAAGGCTGACACAAAAGCATGAACGCAACAGAGATCAACGAAATTCGACGGTAATTGGCGCAATCTTCGCGGAAGTCTTTCTTGTGAACCGGGACAAAGTCTGACTTCCCACATGAGTTTAAGCCTTCTCATCAGTCAAAACATGAGCGAACAGCGAGAGAGTTTCGTTGACAAGTACATCCACGCCAGCTTTGAACGGAGTCAGTGGGAGGTTGTCAGAATATTCCGAGTTATAACGCTTCAAAGATTGGATTGCGTTTCAGATCTCTGTCTCGGTAGGAGGATCTGAGGGGAAATAATAAGCAGCATACGATGGAAATGGGGTTGTCCTAGAGTACTGTGCTGAGTAAGTAACCTGGAGCAAAGTGCGCTGCTCAGTAATCCAAATGCCTGCGTAGATTCGTGACTTTTGCCGTCTAACCCACAGACTGCCTGACAGCGTGTGAATTGCAGCCGGTAGTCTTGATACGGTAAAACAAAGTGCGGTATTTTTCAACCGATGCAGCGATGTATATCTCAGTAGCTCGTGTTGAATATCAGTATTCACGGTCAGAGCGAGGGCTTCTTTTTAGTTGTGGAGAAACACACCGGCGGATTTCACTGTGTTCCGCCCAAGTATCATGACTGTACGTAAGTTAATAGTAAGACACCTCAGCCTTTGTGCTGACATACAATAGGATAAGATATAAGAAAAAGCGAGATAAAAACCAAAGCATAAGCAATGTAATGTCGTGTAACATACTATGCTTCATGTGTGAGATCACGTTTAGAGGGGAAAGTTAAGGTGGGAACAAAGAAACTCGGAACACGAACGCCGTTAAGGTCTGCACTACGCCATGTCGGCAAGTGCATCATTATTGGGATCCAAACTAGCAACTTGAGGCTCCAACCGACGCCAACTCTGAAGTCATGGCCCTAATCGCCGCTTCTTACTATGCTTATCCAGACCTCGGTCGCACAAACAACGCACGTCACGATAGTCGGTGTGCTTGCATACGCGGAACGTGTCCCAATCATCGGAGCCGCGCAGGCGGACACATCCTCTCGACGGACTAACAGCATAGCCCAGCGGGTTGAAGAGGTACACAACCCGTGGCACCACCTTAAGGTACAGTCTCTTTGCGACGAGTACAAAAGCATGGAATGTGTATATGTCGGCTTATGCAGCAGCGCGCGTGTAGCCGTTGGATCTGACACCAAAAGGAGTGAACCATTCGAGAAAAAGCCACTAAGGGCGCAAGAAAAACAATCATCAGCAGCGAAAGATGTAAATGAAAATATCGAACGTTGTGTCACGGAGAATAAAAAGCAATGTGTTAACTTACCTATCACCCTCGTCGAAAACGGCGTACTGAATCGATTTCAAGCTGAAATTCATCTCCATCACGATGTGCAGTAAACGGCCTGGTGTGCCGATAATTCTACTGGTTGTTCAATACTTGTTACTTAACTTACATATCTGGACTACCATGTAGGGCTTCGAACTGATCCTCCATTCTAAATTGACAGTTTACAAAAGAAACAGGGATTCCCACTTGTCCCCTCCGAGGATGGCAGCGGCAACCAAATCGGTGAATTTACCAAGCTAAAAATATGATGAATGGGGGAGCGAACGAACTTCTCTCGTGAAATTCATTGTTTGAAGGGCCAGCTCTCTAGTTGGACAGACGATAATGCCACGCGGTCCAGTAGACACATGTCGCTGAAGTCTTTCAAACATTGGTATCAGAAAAGCTGCTGTTTTGCCGCTCCCGGTTCGAGCCATTGCTACAATATCGCGACCGCTAAGAGCCAATGGAATAGCCTATGCAGATAAGTCATTATGGGCAAAAACAAGAACCTTCCGTTGTATTGGGGTTGGGAGCTTATAACCTTTGCGAGTCAACCCCTTAAAAACAGGAGCACTTAGTCCCATTACTTGAAAACCTCCGGACTTCATTTTCTTCCTGTTCATAGAGATAACCATTTTTCGAGCATCCGCAACTCCAAAGAGATCATCAGATTCTGCTGAACCATCCATAGTGGAAAAGTCGCTGAAGTGAAAGAAACGTAAGTGCACAGAAAAAAACACAGGAAATATTCCCTCAGTTGAAGAAGCTAATGGAACTTAACGTTGGTGCATTCATTAAAGGAAATGAGCCTACGAATGTTGGAAAACAATGAGTAAAAAGCGGTGCAAAGACAAAATGGTGATTACAACCACGATACGTAGTACGAAGATAGACTGGAGGTACGCATGACTCCCTATTTAGATAGACAGGAGTGATGCTGCTGTCATGTTGAAAAAGTGTGGGCCGGCTCGGCTGATGAGACGTGGCTCCTATCCACATTCCTCCCGGTCTTATTCCTACGAGTTTACATTGGATCTGGAGATTAGGATGGATCCGTGGTGCAGTGCAAGCCATTCAAGGTCCCTCTGTATGCACAAGCGTCCTGTGGCTGTCTTATGGAGGCCGGTGACAGCTCTGCTTGTATAGTAGTGTTGGGCCGGCTCCGTTGAGGAAACGTGGCTCCCATCCACATGCCTCCCGGTCTTATTCCCTAGGGTTTTCACCGGATACGGGGTGTGGGTGATGCAGCGCAAACCACCCATAGTCCCCTTGTATGTGCAGTCGTCTCGTGGATGTCCCGTGGAGGCCACAGTGATAAGCAAACCCGGACATGGATGCCGCCAATCTATGTATAACAACAAGTGTCTAGATAATAGACATACAGCCGTCGGAAAATACGGAATGAATGTGCATAATAAGCACGAAGATCAAAAAGTGGGAGCCATACACGTCGTTTTGTCCTTTGTGTCAGATTAGTGATTACAATTTTTATTGGTAGAATCAATGCATGAAGTCATGTAGATCTTCCATTACACCCGATTACGCGTCATGCCCACCTGAGAGGTGATCCGGCGAAAACAGAAGTTAGTCGAAGTAGAACCGGAACCACAGTCCGATGAAGTACCGGAGAAACTAGAACCCAAACCAGTGGAATTACTTGTGTCCACAGTGTGTGACCAACCGCGTTTTAAGTGTGACGTCAAAGCGCTGAGTTTCGCCGAAACCATGCTGTTCCAGTAAAGTATTTATCGGTGAATCTTGGTTGTGTTATCACTTTCTACGTTGCCTTCTGTACATTAATGATTGCTTCCCTCAAGCATTAACACTGTAAACCTTTAATGTTAGGAGTGAGTGGTGGGGCTCTTAACACCATACAAACATACACTCGGAACACTGAATTTCTGTAAAGAGAACATGTGGCTTTGAGGGAGACCACACTCTGACTTTCCGAACTAATTCCTTGTGGCGCCAGCTGGGTGGTTCAGGTTTACCCCGTTCCAGCAAACATTTCGGTGGCAGTGTTCCGGGACGTTATCGGTTGTCCCTTGGCAAGCGTTCTCTTTGCAATAAGCTACAGATGTTCGTCTAGCAACATTGTAACCTGGCGGATGTGACTTGCCACTAAATAAAGCCACTGCCCATTGCTTCGCGTCGGTGGAGAATTGTGCTGATATCATGAGGATTGGGCCCCTGCTTGGTAATCGAAACTAGGAGCAACGACCTTATCCTCTCGTTACTGGTTGCACGCATCCGGAGACGCCGATACAGCACTCACGGGTCAATCACCATCATCATCATCATTACACGTTAGCTGGAGGTGGAAAACACCTTAGCTATTGTGCCGCAATACAAAAGACAAGAAAAGGAAAACAAACAGTGGCACGCCGGCTGAGACCTCAGTAACGGATGGAAATCGTTCCGGAGAGCTAACAGCTGGCTGCCGTAAAAGAGTCATATTAAGCCTCACAAGTGAGATCGTGATTGGAGGATGCTAAGCAGGAGGGGGATGGACAAAAAACTCACAAAACAAACGCCATTGGGGCCGGCTCCAAGCCATATCAGCCAGTGTGTCCAACCAAACGTGTTCACCGTCCTTAGGGCAATATCGTCCGCATACTCCAGGTCAAGAAGTCGCTCGCCAGGAAGTAGCTCCACACCTAGATCATGTCCAGCGAATGCTGTTTCCATGACTTCATCAATAGCGAAGTTAAAGAGGAAAGGTGACAGCGGGCATCCTTGTCTCACACCGCTGGTGATACTGAAGGGTGGCGACAGTTTGCCATAAACCCTCACCCTGCCCGAACTATGCGCGTACAGCGCTTTGATAATGTTCACATATTTATCAGGAACACCTTTCCTCAGCAGACAGTCCCAAAGGGCACGTCGATCGACTGAGTCGAAGGCAGCCTTTAGGTCAAGAAACACGACAACGGTGGGTCGCCAATAAATATGGCGGTGCTCCAACACTTGACGCAATGTGAAGATGTGGTCGATGCAGCCCCGACCTCGACGAAATCCGGCTTGCTTTTCACGAATCTGGCTTTCACGAGTGCCAGTTAGTCTGTGGAGAATGACAGACGCAAGGAATTTAGAGGCAATCGAAATCAGACTGATCCCTCTATGATTGCCGCATTCCAAACGGGAGTTTCCCTTGAAAATTGGGACAATGGCGGAGCGGTTCCAGTCTCTTGGGACAGTTTTCTGCTTCCAAAGTTTCACTAGCAAATCGTGTAAATCATCTACTAGAGCAGGTCCCCCGAATTTGAAGAGGGCTGGGGGAATTTTATCTGTCCCTGCGGCCTTATGCAATTTCAACAGCCTGATCTCACGTTCGACTTCTGCGCGTGAGGGCGGATCCAAGGAGACGGCCCAGGGATAAGGGCGCTCAATGCCCGAAGAAGAAAGCGATAACTCATGTTGGTTACATTGCCTTGCAAAATGTTCAGCCCAACGCGCCAAGCATTTTGACAGGCTGTGGATCGGCTACCCACTCTCGTCGCGTATGTTCTCGCTAACACCAGGTCTCCTGCTGCCTGTTTCCCGTATCAGACGGAATCAGACGGAATGATTACCAACGGCAGCGGCTATTTCCATCTCAGAGGCACGATGAGACCACCAGGTTTCGCGGTCTTTCTTCAGGCTAGCATGTAGTGTTGTCTTGAGATTTCCGCGAGCCTCATTATGTTCGCTTCCAGTCGGAATACGTCGGCGAGCATCCATAACTTCCCGAGGGTGTGTAGAGACCAAATATCCGGTTTGGCAACTTGTTTTGTCACATGAAGACATGCCTACTAACAGCAACGCTTGACGAATATGCGACCAGTGATCTTCAACGGTGTTTAGTGGGCGCTTACTCAGCTCAGATGTCAGCGCAATTCGTACACATTCAGAACATCTGGCTTCGTCAGCTGGCTGGTGTCAATCCGTTCACATCGACGTTGCGGACGTCCACCGAAACGTACCAGGAGGTCGGCACAGACAAGTGCGTGGTCAGAGCCTACGCTCGTGCTCCAAATCCAGCGACAGATTTGGACACAGCCTCTCCAGCGGTAACTGATCGCGATATGATCGATTTGCGTCTATGGCTGGCCCGAGGCTTGCGGCCGCCAAGTCACGCTTCTGCGAGTGCTGTGTCGAAAGTTAGTGCTGGCTAGAAAGAGGCGAGCATCTTCACACAGCTGTAGCAATCGCTCACCATTATCATTACAGGAGCACTCACCGGTCAAGCTGGTGTAGGTATCATTCTAAGCTCCAAGGCTGAGTCATCGTTGGTTGATTGGATTCCGTTGAAGAGCCGTTTATGTGCAGCTCGTTTGACGACATCAGCTAAGGTGGATTCGCGAAGTAGTACAAAACGCTGTTTGTTCGTGATTTCCGCTTATGCTCCCACCGACTGCAGTTCAAATGCTGTCAAGGACACATTCTATCACGAACGGAACTCGCTACTATGCAGTGCTACTAGTTCAGATATTACAGTATTTGCAGGGGATATGGACGCACAAGTAGGGCGTATGAGCTCTTCAGAAGCTCAGCTGGGTGGTAATTGTGGACTTAACTCCGAACGAACTGACAATGGTGAGCGTCTGCTACAACTGTGTGCGGAGCACCAGTTGTTGCTTAATAGCACTGCTTTTAGACACAATGGAAGTGCTACTTGGCGTCCTCCTGTAGCTGGCCAGCGATGGACGCAAATTGACCACATAGCCATAAGTAACAGGTGGCGTGCTCCCATCCTGGATTGCCGCGCGTACTGAAATACCTGCGCGGACTCTGATCATGCCTTGGTACGTTGTCGTTTCTCCATGAACTTTATCGGGAGGCGCACCATGCGTCTCCTCCAATTAGCAACTGAGAAATTGTCTCAGTCCTCGGTCAAGTAAGACTATCAAGACACACTGCGTACCGAACATTCGCTTCCTTGTCCTAATGACACTGCGCTTCAGTAGAATAGGATCTCGGCCGCCATGCACGACGCAGGAGCATCTGCTTGTGGAACTATCAATCGTAACCACACCAGTCAATGGATATCCGAGAGGTCGGTGAACCTGTTAGA